CTGGAAAGAAAACATATATTATCAAAAACAAGTCAAAAAAAGGTTTTGAAATCATGACCAAATAATTAAATGTACCCAACAACATGTAGATAATAAGTATGAGCTCTACTCCTATAACGAAATCCTTCCTACTTGTAGCCTTGAAATGTCTCAGCGCTTCTGCCCACGGACCAGCATTTTGGACCATTTACATAAAAACAAGACAGCCACTCGACAGAGGCAAGCGAGCCTGCGCCTTTCCAGCTTGAACGAGCGAACACATTCATCAGCACATAGCGAAGGCAGTAACTGGAAACCGTTCAAATCTGCACGCTCCCACTTTTCTGCTAGAAACCCTCTCTCAGCCTGTTGCGTGTCATTTAATCCTCACCGCTCTAGCAGTAGGTATCATGGGACACTGTACAGTTTACAGAAAGTAAGTAACTTATCCAAGTTCTGCTGGTTATTATCTAACTGAGCTGGTCCAAACCCGGGTCTGGGACTGGAGTTTATAATTGGACTTTCTCCATGGTCTGCTAGGCTACGCAACCCAGAATGTAGCTGATTCCAAATAAACCGATGGTTATTGATATTTCTAGTGAAAAAGTGCCTGTCCTCCAGTGCTGAAGTCTGGAATGCACCTCCCCTAACAAGAACTCCTGGCTTCGTTGACTGAGGTACCAGTCCACACCTTCTGCTATTAACACATGCTCTTTAGGTACCAGTCCACACCTTCTGCTATTAACACATGCTCTTTAATGACAGACATTTACTTTCTGAGATATTTCTGCTTCTGGACATTAATACCGTGCAAATAGCGTGGCACAGCAGAAAAAGCAGAGTGGCGTTAGACCGAAGTGGGTGTGCACTCGATCTTAAATCGCTCACCGGCTGCATGAAGTTGGGAACGTTATTCGGACGCTCCGAGTCTCAGATCTGTCCCTTGTAAACTTCCTACCTTGCACAACTGTTGTGAGGATCAGTGATAATACATGTGACATGCGCACCGCATTCAAGAAAGGACAGCTGCTATTAAGCAGAACTGCAAAAAGCTGTTTGCAAAAAAACAAAACAAAACATCTTTTCGGGCCAAGTTTAGCTCAGGAGCCAGCAGGAGATGCCTCGGGTGGAAGTGCCTGCAGCTCAGCATGGCTCAGCAGCGTGCAGCGGGAGGGACGGCAAGAGGGGGGCCCGAAACGGCAGGCGGGGGCCCGAAACGGCGGGCAGGGACCCGTCAGGGACGCAGACCCGGGGGCCCCGCCTGCCGTGCACACGTTGGCGCTGCACGAAAAGAGGGGAACGGTAAGCTAGACAGGNTTTTCAGGGCTGCACAGTGTTACACTATAAGAATTGATCATGACGTAACTTAATTTTGAGGCATTCACTCATCAAATATAAAACTGCCTCAACAGAATTCCTTACCTGTTCACCCGGTGTTCTTCTTTTAACAGCAATTTAGTTTGTCTTAATAAAATAATTTACTTGCAATTAGGCTTTTTCAAATCCGTAAGCAGCAGCTGTAAAGCTTCAGACAAACCAAGCGGGTGGGACACCGCAGCTGCAGAGCCCCCCTACCTGGCACACGACACACGGGGTTATCCTGCCCGTCCTTCTCCAGGATGAGGTTGGTGAGGAAGTGCAACCCCACCACACACTGCAGCAGGTGGTGGACGCTGTCTATGCAGTTGCTGTGCAGGTCGAGGTAGCGGAGCTTGTGTTTGATTCCATGAAGGGGCATCAAACCTGCGGATGGAAACCCCTTTGGATGTCACAGCAGCAAGTCCCCAACAGCGCGTTGAAAGCGCTCTCAGGGGGGTTCGATCTCGAGAAGGGGAGAGTGGAAGGGCGGAGGACTGGCTGTGGGCAGCCACATCTCAGGACGCGGGAGGGCTCATTAATGTCAACAGCTGTTTCGAAGCGATACAGGTGGCATCTGGGGGGCAGTTCCCTGGGGCTCCCAGTCTCCAGTCCTCTTCAGACAAAGCAAACGGGCCTCGCAGGCCATGCATGTTAATACTTCAGGAGAAAAGGCACGGAGCAACGGCTCAAGGCCCCCAGCCTCGCCTCGCTTCTGACTGCGGACGTAAGCAAACACCGGGGCATGCTGCAGTGTCGCTGATTTGAGCATAAACACAAACAGCGCCCATCTGATTCAGCTCCCTTGTGTGTTTCTTCCCAAGCTTATCGAGGGCATGGCAACGTTAGGGAGCAGCTGTGCAGCTGCGGCCAGCAGTGCCTGGCACACCTCCCGGGCAGCCTGACGCCCACTGCAGCCAGGGGGACCGGGGCCACACATACCGCCGGTGTGCCCTGAGCACCGGCTGCTTCTTTTTCTGTCTCAGAACATTCTCCAAAATGGAGCTTGAGCAAAGGTGCAGCCTGCAACTGCGAGGGAGTTAACACCCCCAGGGGCTCCCCTCAACCACAGTGGAACTGTCAGCGGACGAATGCCCTAGCCTCCCCCTTGTGGAAGGACCATCTGAGATGCCCGCCGCACTGAAAGGTCCTCTTCCCTTTCAGGTTAGAGTGCCGCTGGGCGCGTTCTGGATCCCCGCTATCCACACGCTCTCTGGAACCTTCTAGTTTCACGGCTACAAACACCACAGATGTGCTCCAGTCCAACCAGCCTTCCCTCCCAAACACGCAGGACGCGCACGCGCGCATCTGACAGGGCCGTCGGAGTTCAGACAGAACCCTCAGCTCTCATCCCCATCTCTACCTCGGGCCCTCCCCAATCTGGCTCGTCAGGCAGCAGTGCCATCATGCGCCTGTCACTACAGAGAGAACCCGCGTTTGTTATCCGATTCCTCTTTCCCTCATTTCCTCCTCTTAATCCATCAGCGAGTCCTGTGAACGCCACCCGCGAAGACTATTTACTTCTCTACACACTTTCTGCCCAAACCCAAGTCTCCATCATCTCAGCCAGACCGCTGGAATGGCTCCCTAACTGGTCCGACTTCCAGGTCCATTTTCCTCACTCGGCAGCCAAGGTGGCCCTTTAAAAACCTTCTGCCACTCACTTGAGAGCCCTCCACTGGCTTCCTAGGAACCTGGAACAACCCGCCCACCCCTGGCCCTGCTAACGAAGCGCCCTGGGACCTGGACGGCCATGTCGCCTCTCCCTGCACACTCGCCCTCATCCCCTGGGCTCCCGCCCCACAAGCCCGCTTCCTGATCCTTCATCGTGGCAAACCTGATCGTGCCTCAGCGTCTCTGCACGCTCTTATCATATAACTATCATATCTATCGAGGTGTTTCTGAACATGTATATTGTCATTCTAAGAATTATCTACTAGACTTACAGAGCTACCTGTATTTCCTCCATATTTCTTATCATTATCTGATACTGTCACTAAAATTCACCCTTTTTAGGTGTGGAGTTCAAAGCGTTTCAACCAACACATACAGTGTGGGAGCACTACCACAGCTGACGTACAGAACACCTCCACCGGCCCCATCAACGTGTGCTCATGCAGTGTCCTCTCTCCCCGTCCTCCAACCCGGCAACCGGTGACCTGACTTCCGCCCCTGTAACTCTGCTTTGTCAGCGCGTCACATAAATGGAACCACAGTGTAGGCGCTTGTCTGGCTCCTTTCACTAAGCACAATTCTTTCTAGATTTATCCATGTTGTGCTGTGTATCACTGGTGCATTCCTTTTGCTGCCAAGTAGCACTCCACAGTGTGGGTGCATCACACTCTATCTGCTTACCAGCTGAGAGACACATGGGTGGTTTCCAGCTTTCGGAGATTATGAATAACTGTATAAACATGATTATATAAAAAGATATATAATCATATAAATACTCGTGGACAGGTCTCTGATTAGACATGTTTTCATTTCTCTTAGGTAAATACCTAGACTGGGTTGCACGATAGAAAAAGTCTACACTGAACGTGACAAGAGAACTTCAAACTGGTTTCCGAAGCAGCTGCACCTCCTGCACCGGGCACTGGGGTGCTCCAAGCTAGTGCCACCGGGTCTCAGCACGCGTTCACGTGCATCTCCTTAGTGACTGAGAAGGGCAAACATTCTTTTCCACGTGCTTATTGCCATTTGGATATCCTCTCGGAAGTCTGCTCAGATCTTGAGCTTATTTTCAGGGGGCTGACCTGATCTTATTTGTTTTTCTTCCCCCTACGATGTAAGCCCTGCAACAAGAACCTTGCCTGTCCGTTGGTGTTTTTCATCAGTACAGAACCCTGTTTGGCACAGTAATCTTCAATAAATATTTGTTGAGTAAATAAATGACCTAGCTTACCCGAGACTCACTTTCTTCAGGTAAGGAAACTGCATCCAGAAAGTGTTGTAATTTACTTTGCTCAACAGCACACAGCAGGGAGACCTAGAGTTAATACTCAACTCTAATACTTTCATATCTTTGGGGAAAAAGTTTAAAAAAATTAAAATACGGTTGCTCCTTCAGCTTAAGTGTAGGAACTAGATCATTTCACTTTACTTTTTTGCATACTAAACACCTGGCATAGGGTAGTATTTTTCTAGTAGGGCAGAAAACAAACTAATAAGTCTATTTCAAATACTGATAAGGCTTATGAAGCTAATTAGATGAATTCTGCTAGATTCTAATTGACAATTCTAAGAAAAATTATGAAATTGCTCTTTTTCTCAGTGTATCACTTTCATCAGGTACAAAGTAAGTAAGAGTTTGTAACTGTCTTAGACATGCTCAAGTTCAGAAGAAAACACATATTTGATCCTCAATGTGCAACGGCCTTTGAGATGCTGCAGACTCACACTGTCCCCTATGGCCGCACTCTCACAGGTGGCTTTGTAAGTTTAAATTAAAATGTCATTAACATTACAGTGCAGTTCCTCAGTGCACCAGGCACATTTCAAGTGCTCAAAGGTCACATCTGGCCACTGGTTGCCATACCAGACAGCACAAATGTAGAATATNGGACAGACTGTTCTGGTAGGTCAGCTTGGACGCAATTTTTATTTGAAAATCTCTTAACTACTTTTTCTTTAACATATTGCTTAGAAAGATAGGGAATAGTTACTTCATTGAGAAGCTGTAAAAATTGATCATCTAATTTCTGAAGTTTCATCTCATTCTGAAAATCATTTTCATGATTCACATTCTCTGGCTGAGAAGATGGACACCCAGCCATGAAGGTCAAACCAGTATCCGCGGGTGTGCTTGCAAACTGGTCCACGGGAGCCGTGTCATCGATGGGCGGTGTCACCAGCGGTACACTGTGGACGACCTACGACAGACACAACCCCAGGTCCTTACACTTCACACCTACTGAGTAATTTGGAGGTGTCTTGATATTAGGAAAAAACCATACCGTACCTCATCTTCACTTATATTTAGGGGAGAATCAGAAGAAACTAAATTATCCAGAAGACCTTCAAAACACTGCAGATGTGACGAATTCATTTCTGACAGATTGACGGGCTCACCAAAGATGTTCTTGCAATCTAGGATTCGAAGCTGTGGCAAAGTCTGCAGCATAACTGCTCTGTACCCTGGGGACAAACCATTCACAACGCAACTCACACATTAAATAAGGGAATTGTTTCTCGTAGGGTAAACTAAATTTATCAGCTACCAGGGGATTAAATTAATCCTGGAATGCACCTAATAAGTGTGTCTGTGATGGGATGGATATAAGCACGAATCGGGGGGTGTAGCTGCAGAAAGCAAGGAGTTGCCTGGTGAGGTCTCGAGCATCAGTGGAATTAAAGGTCCCTGTTTCTCCCTTAAATTACATAAAACTAAGGTCTGGACAGGCAATCTATCAAGTATTCAAGAATATGTTTATTTTCCCTGAGTACAATTAAATATGAGAAATCTGGCAACTTAACATTAATTTGGTGCTTCGGCTAGAAACACTAATTTTGCTTACTTGTAATTTTAAAACCAAGTAGTATTTCTAACAAAGACCAATAAAGTGTTTGGAAGAACTCCAAAAAAAGGAAAGAAGTCTGGCAAATTAATATTAGACATTTTGATGACAGAAAAGTAACTTTGGTAGTAAGTATCCCTTCAATTCTGGGGGGAGGGCAGCTGTGTTGAGAGAAACACCTCATCTAGGAAACAGAGGCTCTAGAAACAAAAAACTATAGGGACCAGAAGTTCTTGAGGCAAGATTCTTAGGAAAAAACATCCAACTTGTGGGATAGCAGAGAAAAAATAAAGTTGATTTAGAAATATGGTTTTCTTCCAAGAAAAGGGTTTCCCCAGAAAATGGAAATATGCCTATTTTCAGGGAGACTCTCGCTACACAGCCTTAGAAACACAGCTGGTGTCAAGTCCATTATACTCTTCTGTGAAATAAAATGATAAAACCAGTTGGCTGCCTGGGAAAAGCCTTCTCACAGCTGCATGTTAATGAGA